GGGGGAGAGAGAGAGAGAGAAAGGCAAGGCCGGGACTCCCTGTCCTCTGTCCGGCGCGCTTGCTCAGTTCGCCTGGCCGTCTAACTTTGGCTCTTTGCTTTTTCCCCCCCTTGCGGCTTCGCCGGGCAGGTTTGTGGATCCAGCCACGGAGGGGGCTCGATGTCCGGAGCCCATCAGCTGGAGCGCAGCGCTTTTCCCTCGGGCGGCGGAGCAGCATGCGTGCAGGGTGAGTCCCCAACCGGCGAAGAAGCCGAGCAGGAGAACTTTTTTGGGGGGGGGAGAGGGGGGCGAACTTATCCCATCCCGATCTCTGGAATATTTAACGTGAAAGTTTGGGTCTCTCTCTCTCTCTCCCGCTTCTCTGCTTCCCGCTGCAGGGCGACGGTATTGCTGGCCCTTCTGTGTCTAGCGGTGCAGTCGGTGGAAGGGGTAAGTTTCCCAGCGTCCTGCTTTTTACTCGGAAGGAGACCCTCTCCTGGTTTATGGTGCTTACGTGGGGGGATTTCACAGCCTCATCCTGGCTTTCGGATTCCTATGGAGTAAAGCCTGTGTGTGTGTGTGGGGGGGGGGAGCTGGAGGCTCCCTGTTTTTTTAATTTGGGGAAGCACTTGCAGTGTGGTTCTTCTTGGGGGGGGGGATGAAGTTAAATATCCTGCAGAGGTGGGATGGTGGAGCTGTACAACCGGCGCACGTGTGGTCCTCGGCAACCAAAACACAGAAATGTTGTCTGGCAGAAGTCTGTTTTGCAGTATGATCCCACTCGGAGATAAGCCCCATTCAGTGTAATGCGATGCATTCTCAAGTCAGAGTGTATTTTTGCTGCTTTTATTTTAGGCTAGCGGTATTTAAAGGAGCGCTTCTTGGATGTATCAGACATGGTTTTAGGCTTCTAAAGGAAGAGCAAAACGTAGACTGCAGGGTCCTAGGCAGGCTTCCTTGGGAGAATGCCCCCCTCAAGTCATTGGGATTTTAGGCACGGTTAGTTTTCAAACCTGTTCTACAGTTTTCTCTTCCTTTTTCTTGGGAGTATTTATGCAGACAGAATTCCAGAAGAGCAGTGGAGTGTGGATCTTGTTACAAACACTGTGCATGGGGGCACACTGTCAAGAGCCCTGTGGCACCTTGAAAGCCCACAGGTTTATTGTGGCAGATGCTCTCTGTGGGCCTGGCAAAGTGGGCTGGGGTGCACAACGTGAATGCCACAATGCAGTTTTAATATTCTTGAAGCTGCCCTGAGACTCCTTGGTTTTCGGATCCGTCATGGCTTTTGCGACACTCTGGTCGCTGTCCTCACACTATGCTCAAGATCCGCATTGGCTTCTCACCGTTCGCCTCTGATGAATTAACTCGACCTGTGTAGGAAGCAGTAGCAGAACGCCTCTTCTTTTCTTTAGGACCAAGCAAAATATTGAAAAGTTATCCCTGTCTCGATGTGGTCTGGTTGCTGGGCATTGATGGAAGAAGAAGCTCCCACAGCTTGTGGATAGTCTAAAAATGGAATGAACCTGGGGCACTTCCACACATGCTAAATAATGCAGTTTCAGTCCACTTCAGCGATGGTTTGCAAGTGGATTTTGCCATTTCACACGGTATAATTCAGTTGCAAAGTGGATTGAAAGTGTGTTACTTAGTGATAAAATCCAATTGACCCATGGTATCATTAAAAACACGGCCATTTTTTGTTACAAGCTATTCAGTGTGTGTGAAGGCGCCCTGGCTGTTTGATGGCCTGAAATAGGCTAGGCCACACTAGTGCAAAAGGAGCTCAGATTGCATCAAAGGCTACTAGGACAGGGAAAAACAGTCACTGGGGGAAAACGCGAAAGCCAGCAGTGCTTTGGATCTGTCCTTGGCACGAACACAGCTCCCTTGTAAGCTGCAGAACAAGAAATAAAGAAAAATGTGCTTTCTGTTAGCAAACCAAGAGAAAAAACGTAGGCAGGTAGAAGGAAAAGCAGCGGGAGTCTCTTGATAGTGGTTAGGGCAGGAACGCACAGCAACGGAGTTGTGGCTGGCTCCCAAGGTGGCCACGCCCAGCAGGAACTCATTAGCATAATAGGCCACACCCAACAGCAGGGACTCATTAGGATTGGCTACATAGGGGTGTGTGGCCTAACATGAAAAGGAGTTCCTGCTACAAAAAAGCCCTGGGTTTTGAGAATAAACAAAGTAAACAGAATAACAAGCAAAAGGTGAGTGTAGCTGGATAACCACACTTCTGGTAACATGGGGGTGCGGCCTAATGTGCTAATGAGCTGTGCTGTCAGGGGTGTGGCCTAATATGCTAAATGAAGTCCTGCTGTTGGGTGTGGCCTATTATGCTAATCAGTTCCTGCTGGGCTTTTTCTACAAAAAGAGCCCTGGGTTAATGTATAAACAGAGGTGCAAAGACAGAAGAGGCGCTTTCACACACACTAAGTAATGCGCTTTCAATCCGCTTTGCAGCTGGATTTTACTGTGTAAAATGGCAAGATCCGCTTGCAAACGGTCGCTGAAGGGGATTGAAACAGCATTATTTAGCATGTGTCAAAGCATCAGGCAGCTCAGTTTCTAACATGGGGCCCTAGCCTCAGGAGTACTCTCTTACTTATTCCTTTGCAAGGTTCTGGAGCTAAGTTGACAGCATTCTGAGGTTAAGTGCATATGAGCCCTGGCTTAAAGTACAGTCTCTTGATGTTTTGTAAAGATACAAAATATACAGAGGGCCCAGTTCTTGAATTCACATGAGAAATTTGTTGGGCTTTACGCCTGCTTCATTATGAGGAGAATTCCAGTGCACAGCAAAAGATTACCTAGGAACAGCAGTAGTATCAACTCTGGTTCCACCACTCATTTATTATTTACTAGCCTGCTACCCGTGCTTCGCTACGTTATTTCACTTCCATAAATCCAGTTATAATACTGGTGATGTAAAGTTTGAAATGTAACATTTGTTGTAGGAATTCTAATGGAGAATTCTAATGCTGAGCAAACCTCCCCAGAGGCTGTAAGCATCCCACGTCCTCTCCTACACCTGACAGGCAACTGCCTGTACAGTGTAGGAGGGGGAGGGGAGAGGAGTATTAGAAGCCACTGTGGAGGCAGGGCCGGCAGGATCACTAAGGCATTACTGCTGGGGCAGGCTCCCTCGTGTCTTTAAGCACCCTGCAACTGCTACTACATCTGAAGACAACTGCCTGCCAGGTATAGGAGGGTGGAGCATGTTTGAAGCCATAGGGAGGCTGGGCCAGCAGCTTTGCTTCACCTCACAGGCGGTTGGCCACTCCTGATTTCCTCAACTGTCATTAGCTCTCTGTAGTCCCCTGTAACTGGGTTTTTTTAACCTCAGAACACTGAGCTCTGCAGCTGACCAATCAGAAAGTGGGGGGTGCAAGGAGGCAGCCGCCTGGCAGCCACATAGGAATCAATGGAGGCAGCACATTTTACCCCTTTTGACCCCCTTAGGGGTCGAATTTCTAAAAATCGCTTCTTAGTGAGCATCTATGCCATGGTAGGAGCGTTCTCCCCGAATTTTTTGTTTCTAGGTCCAGCGGTTTGACCTGGGTGTTGATTTTATGGTGAGGGGACTTTCTTTTATATATATAGATTTATTTATATTAGATTTTTTTTAGTTGCCACTCACCCAAAGGGTCTTGTGCGAACTTACAACACTTGGTCATCATCCTTTGATGGGATATATGCCATCATATGTCAAGAGTGCCCTTCTGGTCTCTCCGTAGGACAAAGGGTCGGTCCCTGCAGGAAAGAATAAACAGACCCAAATCTGAGATTAAACTGTGTATGATTTTAGAGATAGAAAGCCAAAGTAAGGGCAGAAGGACTCTGAAAATTGCTCTTTGAAGAAATGAAGATGCTCAGAAAGTCTTCTCAAGATAACTAACAAACTAACATAAAAGCAGTGCAAAGCAAGAATTCTACAAGTATATTGTCTTATTAACAAATGTAATACTAAATTTAGTTTAACTGGGATATGATCTCTCACTCTTGGGTTTTTAGTTAGTGTGGGTATCTTTTCTTTATCCATAGATGTAGTCCCTTCCCAATTTTTTCTTTGTAGTTTTGTAGTCTATTGAAAAACAATAAAATTACCCCTTAGGGGTTTTAAAAAAAAAGTTTATTTATTTAAAACATTTGTCAGCTGCTTCTCTACCTTGTGGAACTCAAGGCGCCTTAAAAGGTAAATGCAACGATTTATTAAAACACATAATATCTGCAGTTAGGACTGACAATACGTGAAAATTAAATGAGTCAAGTGCAGTCCTAAATAAAACTGCCTTTAGCTGTCTCCTGAACAGAGAAAATGAGGGTGCCAGGTGAACCTCCCGGGGAAGGTTGTGCCACAATTGTGGGGCTCCTGCCAAAAAGGCCCTCCATCGTGTGCCTACCAGACAAGTTTCTCGGATTGGTGGGACAGTCAGGTGGGCGTCTGCCTGTGACCTTAATTCCTGGGCAGGAACCTATGGGAGAAGATGGTCCTCCTGATACCCCAGTCCCAAGCCGTGTAAGGCTTTAAAAAACAAAACCAGCCCCTTGAGTTGGGCTTGGGAGTGGATCAGTAGCCAGTGTCATTGCCGTAGTAGTGGGATCACGTGCTCCAGATGGCATTATTCAGAAACTCGTCTCCACGAGATTTTTGTTGACCATTCTTCATGGAAAGTCCCTCAAAGGGAGTCTCCAGCTTGAAGTGGCTGGCATAAGATTAGTGAGGAAGTCTCACACCATCTCTGACCTGGGTTGAACCCTGGTTTGGGGTTTTTAGTATCACTGTGTTAATTATCCGAGCCGACTCTGGGACTCCCCTCCCATGATAGGTGTTGATTAGCTTGGCCTAACTAGCGGATGGTCTGTCTCTCGTTCTTGATTGGATTTGAATGCAACAGAATAATATCTTGCCCTGGATTGAATGGCCCACAGGACCCTGCTGTTTGCTTGTCTCCCCCCCTCCCCCCAATTGCTTATGTAAAACAACAGCATCGTGAGGATCGATTCTTTGGATCTAAAAAAGGAGGCTTTAGTCCACATGATCTGACAGGGGTGGTCCAGGCTAGCCCAGTCATTAGATTTTGGAAGCTAAGCAGGGTCAGTCAGCACCAAAGTTCCCTCTAAGCTGAGTCAGTGTGAGCCAGCTCACAGTTTTTTTGCCTCCGGCTCACACATTTTTGTCTTAGCTCAGGAAGGATGGGCTCCAGAGCAAACTAATTTATGCAGTAGCCAAATTGCTTGCTCACAACTTTAATGGCAGTAGCTCACAAAGTAAAGCTTTCGCTCACAAGACTCCACAGCTTAGAGGGAACATTGGTCAGCACCAGTTAGTACTCAGATCAGGGTTGTTACGCAGAGGCAGTCAAGGGCAAAATGCCTCTGCTCATCTCTTGCCTTGAAAACCCTAGGGGGGCCGTGATAAGTTGGCTATGACTTGGTGGTACTTTC